AGTGTTTTTTTCTGAAATTTTTATATACGAAGTATACAAATACGCATATCAGAAGATAAGAGGTTGATTGCGTTTCCAACGATATCAATTTTTTAAAAATCGGTTAGTAATTTTTTTGGTTTAAAATATTTTTTTTCATAAAAGTAAAAGGTATTTTTTGATTTTAAGTGTTTTTTCTCAAATTTGTATATACGAAGTATACAAATGTGCATACCAGAAAGGGGTTTAATCGCCTTTACAACGATACCAATTTTTTAAAAATCGGTTTGTAATTTTTTTGTTTAAAATATTTTTTTATAAAAAAGAGGTATTTTTTCCTTTTAAGTGTTTTTCTCAAATTTTTATTTACGGAGTATTCAAATATGCATATCAGAAGAAAGGAGGTTTAATTACGTTTACAACGATACCAATTTTTTAAAAATCAGTTAAAAATTGTTTGAAATGCAAGGTTCTGAATTTTTCGAAGACCCGGCCTTATATCACCTGTAATATAAGTTTGCTCAAAATAAGCTTATATACCATTTGAATAAGAGCAATAGGCGTACTACGTCTATATTTTTAGTTTTTTAGTTATTTTCATATAATAATAAAAAATAATTTTTTACCAAAGGCCCTATTTGGAACTTCGAAGGCCCATATCTCGATTTCGGAGGCTAAATTCGAAAAACGGAGAAATTACTTTTTTACCTATGACTCAATCTCTTAAAAAATTGGTTTGGTCCAATACCCAGCCGAGTGTTGTACACTGTAATGATTCCAGTATCTTCATTTATGTATATTGTAACTATCAATACCTTATAAGAGAAGTGTAAATTTTTTTTATCTAAAACTAATAAAGGTAGAAGGACGAAATTCGAGGATGTGGTAGTTTACATATTAGTCTTTGATATATATTTTTTTCAAAAATAAATATTGAAAATTTTAAAGGATATTCAAGGATAAAGTTTTATTTTCAACACTTATTCGTCCTGGTGCACCAAAAAATATATTTTTGCTTTTAATTCTACAGAATTTTTCCTTTTAATTGATACCCATATTGTTACTCTACAATGCACTATATCTTTTACCTAATTTTTTTATTCAATCATATCCCAGAAATTTCAAAGTCCTTAAAAAAAATCCTGACGTCAGAGAGAAAAATTAAAAACGCAGTTATACTATATTTGGCATCTAGTTTTGTGAATATATTGATTTTTTCGTGTTTTAAAATTTTTTGGTTTTTGTCGCACGGTATAATACATATAAAGACAATCATTGAAACTCCTTAAGCATACACAGACATTGGTGACTATCTTATTTTCAGGGTTTTTTCATAAAAACTGGATGAGATTCCGGATTCCGGTGCAACGATAAATTCAATTAAAAACACAAAATAATTGCTTTTATTAAGTTATTTCTTATGTTATTCGATCAATATCCTCTTGCGCTTCTGAACTGCAACACTTAGATAAGCAAAACAACTAATGTTAATATCACGGCGGAACACTATTATAATAGAAATCCACGCTTATGCTGATAAAAATTTTCAGGCAAAAATAGAATGCACAAGGGTATATTAATTTTGTTCACATAACGGTTGTTTGTAACAGCCAAAACGAATCGAGATAGATATATACAAATGTATACATAAATGTTCAGAATTAATAGAGAAGTCGATTTAGCCATGTCTGTCTGTCCGTCCGTCTGTCCGTGTACACGATAACTCGAACAAAAATTGAGATATCTCAACGAAATTTGGTATGCAGGTTTCCATTTATTCAAGGTAGGTTGGTATTGTAAATGGGCGAAATAGGACTGTATCCACGCCCACTTCCCATATAACGGTAATTTCCAGAAATACGAGAACTGCGATATTTTAGTAACTACTAAGATAATTCACTAAAAATTGATATTTACAATAATTTTCAAACGAAAAATAAGAATATTATAATTTTTTGGAAAATGGGCGTAGCCACGCCGCCCACTTATGGTTACATGTGTATATCTTGGTAACCGCTGCACCAATTTCTTCCAAACTTGGCACAGTTGTTGGCCTTGGTACAACATACAAAACGGCCGAAAATTTTTAAAATCGGACAATAACCACGCCCACATCCCATATAACGGTAATTTAGAGAAATACAAAATCTTCGATAAATCAGTAAATATTGAAGCTAATTTATTCAAAATTGATGCTTGCAACAATTCTTTACCAAGAAATACGTTTATGNGGTATGGTTATTGTGCTTGCCACATAAAAGCAAAACGTTGAAAATTATTGAAATCGGACTAAAATTGAGGCCGCTTTTCATATAACGGTAAATTTCATAACTGCTTGAAACTTCAATATTTCGAAATTTAAGGACTCTAATTTACTCAAAATTGATACGCCCAGGCTTACCATGTAGCGGAAGCTTTCGAAAAGGTGAAACTCATATATTAAATACTTGCGCCGGGTATTTAATGTTCGGCTCCGCCCGAACTTAGACTTTCTTACTTGTTNTTTCGAAAAGGTGAAACTCATATATTAAATACTTGCGCCGGGTATTTAATGTTCGGCTCCGCCCGAACTTAGACTTTCTTAGGTGTTTTCATTGTTTCTTTCATTTCATTGTTTTATTGTTTCTTTGTTTAAACTTATTTTCCAAGTGGATTATCGAATAACCTGAGCGGGGACAAATATCTTTCTATGGAGTAGGTATAATATATCAAATACCGTTCCCAACAGGCAACAAAACGGCTTACAATAATACAAAACAGCTTTGTTGATGGTTTTTTATTATTTGGATCCTATAATGCTGGTTATCAATTACAGCGGACAACACTGATTTTGGTGCGGCAAATGTTAAATCTGTTTTTGATAGACTTTTTTGAGCTGATTACGAATCCGTAATTATAAAGATTCCATCACGTACAGATTTTGAGAAAATCGTGGTCAAAGTGTCAAAAAATCGGTTTTTTTTCAATATTTGAGAAGCACGAGCAACGAGTAAAAATGTTGTAGAACCTTCCACTTAGGCTTAACTTAAAGCTAGAACCCTAGGCTACTGCCCCTGAAAATACCATCCCTGCACATTTACTTGATGGCCATTTATAGTCATTTGTTGAATAATAAAAAAAATGCTGGCAAATTGTGCTATTGAAAAAAAAATGCTGCCAAAATCAGTTTTTGCTGTTCAATAAACGACTATAAGTGATCTTAGGGTCAAGACGAAGAGATGGTATTTTTAGGGATTGTAGTCGAAAGTTCAAGCCTTAATTTAAGCTTAAGTGGAAGGTTCTATTACCTTTTTTTAATTGCGGCAGGGACTCAAACTTCGCCAAAAGTCAAATTTTACTGCTCAATAAATGACTATAAGTGACCATAAATTCAATGTGCAGGAATGGTATTTTCAAGGATAGTAGTCGAGGGTTCTTGCTTTAATCTAAGCCTAAGTGGAAGGTTCTATCACCTTTTTACTCTTTGCTAGAGCTTCTCAAATATTGCAAAAGCCCGATTTTTTGACACTTTGACCTCGATTTTCTCAAAACCTGTACGTGTTGGATCCTTTGTACTTACGGATTCGTAATCAGCACAAAAAAGTCTATCAAAAATAGCTTTAACATTTGTCGCACCAACATTTTTTTCATTTTTGTTGGCCTGTGTTATAGTTTTTACCACCAAAATTTAAAAAGGTGGACAAAAAATAGCACTTTATTGCGAAATTACCCATGTATAAAAAAACGGTGCCGTGATATAACTCCAAGCGGCATAACTCAAATTTTAAAATTTGGGATTATGTCACTCCATGTGACTGTAGTGACATAAACGCAATTTTTTTCACTTGGGTTATGTCACATATTTCCAAACGAAAACGCGAAAAAATTCCAATCCTTCATGTAATTTTGCAAACCATAATAATTTGAAATGTGCACGAGTAATGATAAAATGTTTATCAAAACACTGTCATAGAAGCTGGCTTTGCCATTATTACAACATACATATCGTCGTTTAAAGTACAAAACCGCGTAACGTCATTCTGCAAAACCGAGCAACAGGCATTTGCTGCCAAAATTTGGATTTGCTCACACAAGCTCTTGGCTCAATCCTTATCCATTCGTCCTGAAATATACAAGCCAGAAATGCGACTGCTTTATAAAAAAGAGAACCATTTTGAAATATGAGTGTTTTTACTCTATAGAAAATAATTTATGCTACCTCACATACGCGGTTTTGCATTATCTTGATACGCGATTTTGTACTTTAAACGACGATATGTATAACTGAGAATCATTGCTTACTAAATTCCACGTTTGCTGAGGTTTCACGATGCGGATACAAGCAATTGTTTATTATGTGTACCCTTACTAAGTAGAATTTTGAAAGGGGCGGAAGTATTTTTGCGCAAACTTCTTTCTACGTAGGCCACGCTTAGGGATCATAACCTTTACTAAGTAGAATTCTCCTTTCTGTGTTACCGGAAAAGAGGGGCGAAAGTATTTTTGCGCAGGACTTCTTTCTACGAATGCGGCCTTCGGGCGCGTAGGAGTTATATTCCTTATAATAATAATAATAATAATAATAATAATAATAATAATAATAATA